TAAATAGAGGAGAGTGCGAGGGTAGTAATAGTGTGGGGGGGGGGGGGGGGGGCACATAAGATGCCACAGTCAAAACTGGGAGGGGGCACAAACAAATTTCACCACTAAATCATACCACTGAAAAAAAACTAAATAAGTACAGTATATACTGTATAAATGAGATTGCAGAATACGAGAGTAATGCGGTATGCGGTGATACCTTTTTATTGTACTAACCTAATACTTAAAAGACACGCTTTCAAGAGTGTTCCTTTCTTCCTTAGGTATTGCTTCAGACCTGAGAAAGAGAGGAAAACTCTCAAAAGCTTTTCTTTATAGTTTAAAGCAATTTTCGGCAGGACTGTGTAAATAATTCCCTATGTTATACATCAATGCAGAATACCACCAGCTATAGAGGACTACAAATCCCAGCAATACATAATACAGTAATACAGAATCCCACCAGCTATATAGAGGACTACAAATCCCAGCAATACCTTATTCAGTATTTAAGAATACCACCAGGTATAGAGGACTACAAATCCCAGCAATACATTATATAGCAATGCAGAATACCACCAGCTATAAAGGACTACAAATCCCAGCAACACATTATACAGCAATGCAGAATACTACCAGCTATAGAGGACTACAAATCCCAGCAACACTTTATGCAGTATTGCAGAATACCACCAGCTATAGAGGACTACACATCTCAGCAATGCATCATATAGCGATGCTGAATGGCACCGGCTATAGAATACTACAAATCCCAGCAATACATTATACAGCAATGCGGAATAATACCATCAGCTATAGAGGACTACAAATGCCAGCTATAGAGGACTACAAATCCCAGCAACACTTTATGCAGTATTGCAGAATACCACCAGCTATAGAGGACTACACATCTCAGCAATGCATCATATAGTGATGCAGAATGGCACCGGCTATAGAACACTACAAATCCCAGCAATACATTATACAGCAATGCGGAATAATACCATCAGCTTTAGAGGACTACAAATCCCAGCAAAACATAGAGCAATGCAGAATAATAGTATATACATTTGCTACATACTCTGTGTTGCCACTCTACTCCTGGGTTCTGGCCTGATGTCTTTGGCAGAGAGTGTCAGGAGGGGTGCAGAGGGTCTAAGGAGGGGTGGGGAGGGTCTTAGTAAGAGGAGATGTGCAGGTGGCAGAAGCACTGTAAGCAGGCATCGCGTGGCTCCCCAGAAGGCTGCCGCAAGGTCCCCAGTAAGTGCCAGACCTAAGACACCCGAGTCAATTTGAAAAATGTAAGTGCCAGTATCGGTTTTCAGTATTGGGACAGAGGTCAGCGGTGTAAAGCAGAGTGTATTGGTCAGTTGGTGTAACACAGGGTGCACACGTCAATAATGTAACTCAGAGGTCAGTGGTGTAACGCAGAGTGCAGAGGTCAGTAATGTAACTCAGAGTACGGAGGTTAGTAATGTAACGCAGAGTACGGAGGTCAGTAATGTAACGCAGAGTGCGGAGGTCAGGTGTGCATGTAACGGAGAGTACGGAGGTTAGTAATGTAACCTGGGGTGCGGAGGTTAGGTGTGCATGTAACGGAGAGTGCAGAGGTCAGGTGTGCATGTAACGGAGAGTGCGGAGGTCAGGTGTGCATGTAACGGAGAGTGCGGAGGTCAGGTGTGCATGTAATGGAGAGTGCTGAGGTCAGGTGTGCATGTAACAGAGAGTGCGGAGGTCAGGTGTGCGTGTAACGCAGAGTGTGGAGGTGAGATGTGCATGTAACAGAGAGTGCGGAGGTCAGTTGTGCGTGTAACGCAGAGTGCCCACTGCAAGGGTTAACAACCATTTTGACTGGAGTTCTGCTTTAACCAATTAGTAATACCTGTGAGGGTTTATGAACATACTATCCTTGCCAATGCAAGAGCTATTATTTAATGGAGTAAGTGTATAACTCAGATTTCATAATATCACATTGATCGGGGTATGTACCTTTCTTTTTTTATTGTTTTGGGGGTGGGATGTAACATTTGATGGGGGGGTGGCAGGGTAGGGTTAGTAACTTTGTTAAGTTTTTATTTGGGGAGATCTATCTACATTAGTTAGCATTGTGACCACGGATGCTGGGACAGATATTGAGGAGAAATCTAACATTTTCACGTCTATTCACAAAAAGTTGAAGCGTTTAGAGAAGGCAGGACAAGTGAACAATCTAGACCATAATAGCTGATTTGGAAAAACTCTCCAATTCGTCTAATTTTCCAGTTCAGCTATGGTGTCCTAGATTGTTCACTTCTCCTGCCTTCTCCAAACTCTTCACACTTTTGGGAATAACCCCGTTTATCTTTATCTCTGGAACTGAAATCAAGGGGATACATTTTCTTGCGACAGATGTCAACGTGGGAATTTCTATCACTACTGCGTGATTTGCATTTACTTCCTATTATTATAGGAACAGGCAGTTAAGGGAAACTTCTCTAATGTATATGCAGAAAGCTATACGAACCCAACAGAAACTCTATCCCTTCTTCATATTATATATAAAAGAGTTTTAACTGGAGATCCAGTTTAACCCTAAAGGGCTCTCTGAATCTGCAAGACATCACTGCAAATACATCACACTGTACTAGCATGACTGATGGATTAGTTGATACCGTGTTTCCCCGAAAATAAGACAGTGTCTTATTTTTTTTTTCACGAAAAAAGACACTAGGTCTTATTTGCGGGGGATGTCTTACCTGGCTGCTGCTGTCCGCTCTGCCATCCAGGGAGCCACAAACAGAAACACAGGTGGGCGGGCGTGTGGGCGGGGGG